ATAAAAAATGTATAAAATACACATCTTTTATTTTTATGTCTCCAATATTACCACTGATCTAAACACAAATCAAGCTTTTATTCTCTTACACTGTCTCTCTGAGTCTCACTCTGTCTGTCTCTGTCTCTCTCTTTCTATTTCGAGGCCACTTGGGGGATAAGCTCACCCCTCTTTCACTCCAGGTTGAGCATTTATGCCAGACACAAGGTTACCAAATTGAGCTACTCAAAATATAGGGTATTCATTTAAGTTTGAACTTAAATGAACATAAAGTTTTGATGTAAAACATAAACACACATATAAATCAAAAGCATACATCCACATACACATAATATACAAATATACACAGGTATATCTGCATATGGAAATGTTAGTATTTTATACTTAATCAGGCTAAAATATATTGAGAGAAAACATCATTTGCCATTTTCAACATGCATTTAAATAATAGTATCTCAATGTAAAGGGAATGCTTGAAGATTTTAAAATACAATCTTAGGGGAAACTTTAACATTGTATATATAATAAAAACAATTTTATAACTATTTTATTTTTAGAAGTAGTGTTCATGGATAATTATGTAACATTTCACATTTGTTTACATTAAGAATCTTGCCTTTTTGATTAATATTATGTCTAGAAAATTTTCATATACTATATCCATCCCCCTTTGGATGATCAGAATACAGCAAAGTCATGTGCCACCTTATATTCAGTGCATGTGAGTCTTTGTCCTACAATGTCTTAAAGCTATAAATTCCATAAAACTTGAGACAGTGTTTTTCTTGATGTTTTCAATGTTTACAAAATTGATTGGAGTGTAATAAGAGACAAATATGCTTCTGTTGAATTAAGTAAAATGGAAGTGCTATAAGAGAATAGATTTACAAGGAAAAATTCTTAATTTTCAACCCCTATATCTCTTGTGCATATTTGACTCTCATTATAACTTATTTTAAGTATATTTATGTTTTAAATTAATATAACTAGATATATTTGAGTATGTGCAATTTCTAATCTCACAAAAAACAGTAAAAATGGTAATACAATAGTAATCATTATAATTTGCCTTTGATAAAAAGCCAATGACAAGCAGAAGTAGAAATTGAGGCCATTAACTGAAGAGACATTTATTTGAATGCAGCATTTACTAATGGTTTTTTATTTAAAGCAAATCTTTTGTGAGAAACTTTATCTATGTATTAGATTGTTTAAATATAATATAGAATATAGATTTCAAGTATTAAGATATTCTACAAAAAGTTTGATGCAGTACCTAGTCAATTACTTTTAATTTTTTCTATGTACTCTATACGAAATCCTCTCTGTAAGTTTGGAGGCACAGTAGTTGAAGTTGTGAAGTGTTATTATATCTCATTAATAATATTTAGATATAAACCTTTTCACAGAAAATTCAGCACTTCTTAGTATGTTTCTTCATTAAATAACATTAATGTAAGTGTAAGTGTAGGTAAGAAGGGGCACGAATATTATCAAAACACATTACACATACTAAAACCCTTCCAAAAATGTGAAACTAAGAGGGATGTGACAAAAAGGGATTACCAGAGATTAAAGTATGTATGTGTATTTACAGATTGCCAAAATGAAGACTATTAATTTTTATACTTAATTAGTACCGATTAAAGATTTTTAAAAAGGATAGCATTATTTTTTTACCTGTTTTTGCACTAATAAAATAGGTATAGAAGAAAGAATAATCGTGCTTGCTAAAGAAAAAGAGTTACTCAAAGAAACTAAAACCCAACTTATAGAGTATGTTACTTTTAACTCATATTTCAGGTTGATCATAATAAATCTAAATATAGGCTTTACACTGAAATATTATGAAATATGTACGAAAGTAGAACATTCTTAACTTGTTTAGTCATTCTTGAGAATTTTCTTATCCCACGCATTTTAAAGTATCTTCATTGCAAGAAATAATTCTAATATCTGGATGTTTGTTTCTTATAGTATCTATTAAAATTTAGTTTCGGCTTTACGATGAAAATAGTAAATATGACATCTCAGAAGACTTCCTGTAATATATGCTTGCATCAAATGTTTCAGTGTTTCCACTGTCCACAAGGATCGAAGAGTATGGCTGGAGAAAATTGCTTATGTCACAATTAGCAAGCAGAAGGAAAGGGCAGAGTAGGAGACAAAACACATACCCAGTCAGGCCCTCTGGTAACCTGACCCTACCTCTAACAACACATTGTATAACAGCCTCTAATTTAATCATCTTTCAATGCCTCTGAGCACATGAGGCTTTGGGAGGACATCTACCAACTTTTTGTTTTGTTGTGAAACTTTTTGTTTTGTTATGTTTTATTATGAAAAAAAAGTTAAAAAGCAATTAACTTGGTGAGTTAACACAATATATTTATAAAATTTCCAAGCATCTTTTTCATTTTCAATAGACTTTGCACTTTGAAAAGTAAATAGTGTAACTGCCATAATAAAATTAGAGAAATTCTAAGGAATAATCTTATAAATAATTTTCATTTACTGTTAAAGATAAAATGTTATGCTACTAATCATATGTATCTTCTGAGCTTTAAAACAATTGATTTCAGTGTTTTAGCAAGCAAGAAATATAGCCAGAGAGAGAAAACAGATTAGCCTCTTTTAATATTGGGAATATATTCCAATTAATTAAACAGTTAAAACTGATTAAGAATAAGTTCAGACAAAAATACATTTTTATGACCACTAAAAGTCTGTAAAATTATCACACAAACAAAATGAGAAATTCTTTCAATATTAAAAAAGTACTTTAAAATCTATCACTAGTCAACCAGAGACTGAAAATCTCTGGAGTTTATAAAATTAGGTATAATAATTTTAACAATATGAATATTATGCAATAATAAATCTCTGTAGTTAAAAAGACAATACTATCTCTACTTTTGACCTTAATACATAAAAGGTTTATAATGTATTTTAGGGATTTTATCTAAAGGAATTAGTTATATTATATTACAAAAATTTCTCAAACTTTTTAGCATATACTGTAGCATAACATGAAATTTGACTACACAAATTTTGTGATTTTTTTAATAGTTAGCAAATTAAACGCAACCATTTCTATTTTAAGAGAAAGCACTGCCTAGATAACTTTGTAAAAAGGAACGTTATACTGAGAGAATATCCAGAGGACATGGTTATATTTACAAGAACAGAGTACTGCTTTGTCTGTGGTCTTTAATCAAGTTCTCCTTCCTATTTTCCATTCATTTTCTATGTATACCAAATATTTTGAAAGATTTTGACTTCCAATTTCAATGATATATTTATTTTCATACTTTAAATTAATATCAGTTTGACACAGCTTTTGATTAGTAATGTAATAAATAATATTCTACTACATTAGGTAAAGTAATAGTAACCAAAATCAATTTGTCATTTTCAGATCTGTGAAAATTTCATAAATAGATGGACGATGCATAGTTTTTTCAAGTTTTAAATATGTGCATTGTTTATAAGCTCAGCTGATATGTGTAAGCATTTCTAGGGATATAAAGACTCAAACTAAGGAATTGGTAATATAGTACAAATTCAAATAGTCCACTTTTTCACATTCAGATGCTAGTTAATGGCAAAGCAAGACATTTCTGATTTCATGATACTATATTTACAGAGTCGCAATTAATAAATTGCAGTGATAAGATGTGTAAATAATGCTGTCATATTCACAGGGAACAGAGGATAACTACTGATCTTAACTCTTTTTCTAATGGATAGGGGCATTACATTGTCACCAGCTCTATTCCATTATGGAAGGTCTTTATATTGCCTGCCTACAATTACAGGTTTTTTTTCTTTAATCTACAATTTGAATACAGTAGATCATCTAATTTGTCCAGATATTAACATCCATAAAGAATTTCACACTTAAAACATGCATATATTCATATTTAATAAGCTCTTTTTGATTGGATTGCTTTTAATCAGAGGTTGTTTAAAATAATTTCTCATTGATATTACACTGGCCATATGCATAAAACTATAGAGGCAGAAATATTAAGATACACAATTTATTTAGGTGAGAGATAACCTCAAATTTACAAACATAAGGAAGTACTGGATTTTGATAGATACTTGAAAATAGGATAGTTAAGAAGAATTCATGCCATTCACTAATACTACAGTTTAATATATACTTCTTTTTAAATATCATTAAATATAATCTTTTTATGTGAAGAAAATCATACAGTTAAACAATGAGAAATTTAATAGCAAACATACCACTAATGCTGTTCTCAAAATACTAATAGAACATAATATTTGAATTCTAATAAAAATAGAAAGTTATTTTATTTTTTATGAGACATAACACAATACTGGCTATCTTGGTCCTCAGATGACATTTCCTTCTTGCTTTTGATTCACTGATATATGCAAAATTAAGAAACTATATAATTGAAATACTTAAATCACCAACTGTTACATTAGAATTACTATAGCATTACTGTTTTTATTAATTTTAAGATTACAAGTAACATCATGAGTAATACTCATATAGACGTGTACAAAATTATTGTGCTATTTAAACATGATTCGATTACCAGATAATTAATAAATAGAAAATATTTAATTAATCCCCCCAAAATAGATAGTAGTTTCTAGAAATAAAATGTTATCTAAAGCCAAAAATAAATACTTGTAACTCAAATTTTTATTTTAAATTGCAAAAACATTGATGACAAACTGGTATTATAGCATAACTACATAGGATATTACAGATTATTTGATAACAGAATTAATATTAGTATTAGTATTCATTCCTGATTTTATACTATTTTAAAAACCATAATTCTTTTAAAGTTACTGACTTAAAATGCCAGTGACAGTAGGCTCTGAAGCTTTAAAAAATACTAGGTTGCTCAAATAAGAATGAATGACTTGAATTATAGGAACATGTTAATTAAACAAGAATTCCATATTTCTCAAACCTTTAAAGAAAAGATTAAATACTACTACTGATATTGTACCTCTCTCCGTCGAGAAGCCCAACAGGTTTGTTTGATCTTCCATACTACAGCAGCCACCAATAATAAAGACAAAAAGCAACTGGGAAGTAAAGCAGAAATAATTTTGCTCAATATATATGTGAAATATATAATGAAGTAAATACATGGGAGAAAAAACTTATGGAGTTTAATCATTTTGTCTTGGTCAATATTTTAGACAGAAAATTTATTCAGTATATTCTTAATTTCTTGTAATCTGGCATAACCTTATATAGTAATAAAATATTAATACAAATTATTAATATTTGTACAATATTCAATGCTTTAGAAAACTCTTTCCTTAGAAATATTTTAAACTGAATGTTATCAGAACTTCCAAAAACTACAGTTTTTTTACATCAACAAACTTATGTTTCATGTGACGATACCATCTGTTCTATAAAATTATTTTTCCTAAATAATTGTTTTGAGATTTTATTCATGCTTTCTAACTCAATACAAGATCAATAAAGGTAGGTTACATTCCAGACTCTGTTTTTAAAATTATGTAATTTTATACATAAAACTTTCACAGAAAACTGAATTAATTTTCTACATGCTAAAATTTCTTTGCATATTTTCAGAATATATATTGGAAGAAGCCTCTAGGATTCCCTTCTTCCATTGCATTTGTCCTACAGGAAATTTTTGAGAGTATCCTATAGACATTTCTGATGTTGCCATTCAAGGGACAGCTAGTGGCATATTTACTATACTGCAGTATACATGTTGACACTGTAACTACAAAGACTTTGCCACTCTAAACAGTGAAGAGTGGTTAATCTGAGAAATTCTGCTACAGTCTGAATTGGTAATGATTATACTTCTCTTGTTATGCCTGAATTAACAATAAAAGTGTTAGTAATATTCTACTAAGAACTGACACTTTACAGACTGAGGATCATTTATTTACCTGTATTCAGTCAAAATGCCACATCCTTAAGACTTTTAGCATAAAACAGATATACCTAGCGTGTCCAAACCAAAACATCAATAACATTTATAATCATTGGAGGCATATGGGAGGAGTACAGAGATACTACTAATGATATTTGGTCTCTTTTGGAGTGATGAAAATATTCCAAAACTGGCTGCAGAACCAATTAACAGTGAACTTCAATGAGAAATATATACAAGAATTATATTTTCAAAAAGTTGCTTAAATACAAGCTAAAATTAGAAAAAAAAGTTGTTTAATTAGATGATATATAAAACTGAAACTTTCTAAGTATTGCCTTCTTTCTCTATAATTTAGGGAAGAAAAACATACCTACTGACATTAGTCAATCATTAATACTAATAAGGAAATCATTAAATAAAAACATGAAGTACATAATTTCTAATCTGCTAGAAGGAAATTTAGGTATATTAGCAGCTAATTCAATATAATGGAAAGCACAGGAGTAGTAAAATGATGACAAACATTTTTAAAACTGAGAAGATTAAGAAAAAAATTACAAGACAAGCAGAGTAAGGGGCTAGGGATTTAGCTCAGCGACATAAGCACCTGCTTTGCAATTCCTGGTACCAATAAAAAAAAAAAACAAGTTAACTTCTTAAATTTCCATTTACTTCCTTCTTATAATTCAGAGATCCTCTGATTGTCAAAACAAAACAAATCACATTTGAATATTTGTGATACAAATAAAATATACACGAAACACAATAAAATTGTTTCAAGAAGTATAAAAGATACATCTGCCGAAGTCTAACAAAAAGATATTATTTTACATTTATTTCAAACAAAATATACTTTAAACAAAAAGCATTTATAGGGACCAAGAAAATTCCAAATGATTAAAACAATTCAACACCACTCTCAGTAATTAATAAAACAAGCAGATAAAAGATAAGTGAGGAAATAGAAAACATAACACAAAAAAACTAAGATCTAACAAGCAAATATAGAGCACCACATGTAAGAACAACACAATACGCATTTCCCTAAAGAGTGTATTGCTCATTTTGCAGCAAATACCAGATGTTAGGCCACAATCCAAGTCTCAATAAATTAAAAAAAGATAGATATCATACAAAATATCTTTTCTAACTGCAACAAGACAAAATTATATACTAATAATAGAAGGAAAACTAAGAAATTCATAAAAGTGAAAATTAGATGACATACTCTCAAATCAACAGATCAAAGAAGAAATAAAAACAGACACTATAAATACAGAAAAATTAAAATGAAAACATACCAAAAATATATCACACAGTGAAATCAGTGCTAACAGGAATACCTAGTGATAAAAGCTCATAAAAAAACATTTTAAATCAATAATGAGATGTTTGAATCAACCATCTAGATTCACAATCTAGATTCACAATCTAACAAACTTGAAACAGAAAATCTAAATCTAAAGCTAGCAGTCTGAGGAAAGAAATAATAATTAGATTAGAACATAGGTAATTGATATAGCAAAAATAAAGCCTGGTCAAACTTTCCTTCAAAACTAAGGAGAAATGAACAGTTTGTATTTCATCACATTCACCCAGCATACTACGTATTAAAATTTCTGAATGTACTGAAGCATATTATATATCTATTAAGTATTAAATACTTAAAATCATAGAAAGACCTATATCAAAAAACATGATCTTTAAGCTGTTGAAAGGTAAGACCAAGAAAAAAATATTGAATATAGCAAGAGAAAAGGGGCCCATCACATACAAAGGAGTTTTAATTAAATTATCCACAGATTTCACAGCAGCTACTTTTCAGATTGATAGGAGTAGGATGGTTTATTCAAAATGCTACAACTAAAACAACCTATTGACCAAGAATACTATTGGCAAGGCTGCCATCAAAAACTAAAAGAGAAAATAAGATTACCCCACATAGTTTAGTGGATTGTGTCACTTCCTTATTACTTCTTTATTGATGGAGTCCTTTAAACTTGAAGAGAAAGAGTGCTAAACATCAATAAAGCACCTTATGAAAATGTAAAACTCTCTGCTAACAGTAAATATACAAATATAAAGTAATACAGTAAGGTAATGAAGGTGTATAACTCACTTTCAAATCTGATACAGCATTTTAAAAATCAAAATCATAAAAAAACTATAAATCTATGTTTAGAATAAGTAATTTTAAAAAGGTAATCGTGTAATCATCAATAACAAAATTGGAAAGATAGAAATGTAAAAAAACAGAACTCTTATGGGATTCAAATTATTATCAATTCTAAATAGACATCAATTTAAAATGTTTTATACAATTACAGTGATACCACAAATTTAAAAATTTTATAGAATATATGCAAAAGGAAATTAGAAGAAAATATGATTTTTTTTTTTTTTTTTGTCTTTTTGAGACAGAGTCTCTCCATGCAGTTCAGGCTGGCCTGGAGCTCACTTTGTAGCAGAGGCTGATTTTGAACTCACAATGATTCTACTGCCTCGGTCTCCAGAGCACTGAGATTACTTGAGCCACCACACCTGGCTCTAAAATCATTATTTTTAAAATGCATATGAAACCTTGAAAAGAGATTTCCAAAATAAACATATTAGACTCCTACAGCTAGATATCAATGAAGTTAGAATAGTTGAAAAACAAAAGAGAAAGTAATAAATTTGAAAATAAAACAATGATGCAGAGCATGACAATTTGTTTCAGAAAAGTTTTTCAATGTTACCAAACCCCTTATATGGCTTATCAAATAAAAAATGAAATGTGAAAAATAATAAAATTTATTTTAAAAAGAGGAGTTAAAAATTAATACAGGTGAACTTTTAGAACACTAATATTGAAAAAAGCATGCCAATATTTTTTAAATTACACATCATCCTTAAATAAATTGTCAAGTATTTCAAGAAAAAATAAATGCAAATAGAAAAATAGTGATGAAATTTAATCAAATTTTAAAATGTGCTCACAAAAAATGAAAACAATTAAACCTTAACTAATTTATAGCTGTGCAGAATAGTTCTACCAACTTTCAGCAACAAATAACTATAATGTACCAACCATAAAATGCACTTTTCTAATCCATCACTACATATAACGTAGCTCACCTGTGGCTCTACCTTTCAGCTCTTAATCCCATCACTCTGTGCATGCTGAGGTAGTCTTTTTTAAATTAATATTAAGTGTATTAGCATCAGTTAGATATGCATAATGTTCACATTTGCCATAGGGAATTTGTTCCTATACATATCCTTACTCCTCTTTTTTCTCTTTCCCATTCTCTCGCTTTGACACTCCTGCTACTCCTTATTTACAAGATCTTGGTGGAAAAAATCCGTGAAAGGCCCATGAGTTAAGCATCTTAAAAATTGGGAAAACATATTTAAATATGGTTGGATTTGGCTGACTATTGTTATATCATATTGATACTTACAGAGAAATACCAAGGCCATTAACAAACATTACTACATAAAAATAAGAGCAAGAGGGTATTTGCCTTTATATGATATTTGTACATTTAGTAGTAGAAGAGCTAATGTGGAGGAGCAGTGGGCATGGTAGTTAAAGGTTATGAGCTCAAGAAATAATACAATGCTCAGTCACAGCAGTGCTGTCTTGGCTGGAGTAAAGTCCGTGGTTGGCCCTGAAATATAACCTGGTGGGTGTTTCTGAAGATATTAGATCACAGACCTCTTCTGTAGAAATACACAACACTTTTCTATGTTGGAAAACACTGTAGACCCTTTTCTCTTTGAGACAACCGGTGCTCCCTTCAAAAGGTGCCACCACTTCTTTTCCTGGCTACTAGACTATTAAGCAAGGTAAAATTCCCGAATAAGCCATCAGAGTATAATGAAAGAAAAACACATTATACACTTGAAAGAGCTTCAATAAATACCACTGCAGGAGCTCAGGGAATATGATCAGATTTGACTTCTGTGTTTAGTCAAGGGAGATACAGGGCAAGCCTTGCTAAGCAAAAAATGTACTTATTTTTGTATATATTTTCAGGACCACAGAAGATGTCATGCCCTACTGAGGATTCCAGGAGATGGCACAGACTTGTGGAGTGATTTGAAAACTTTAACTAACTTACAGCTGTACAGAATAGTTCTACCAACCATCAAGTTCCACCAAGGCAAACTTGTTGCCTTGAAGCCTAGAAAAAGCAATAGCCAAAGCAAAATGAAATTGAAATTCCTAAGTTGCTCCGGTGAAAAGAAGGGAAAAGAAAAAAGAAGACACAACTTCTGAGGATACAGGAGGCTGAGACAGAAAGTTACAATTTTCTGTTCAGTTCCTTGAGCTGAGCTAATTTTCAAATCTAGACTCCAATAAATAAACAGGTAGCTGAGTCCACTGAAGAAAAACAATAAGACATCTTAAAATTATTTAAATATTAAATATCATATACTTGAGAATATACAGAGATATATACATGGATCTATACACAGTGCAAATAAAATAAGCAATTTTGTGAGTACTATTGGGCTTAAGGACAGAAGTAACACAGATAACCAGGGACCAAAATGTCGTCATCCATTGTTAGAGTTGGGTGTCAGGGAGTGGGGAAAGGGTGCAAGTACAAATCCTACATTCTGGCTCACACTGAGGCAACTGGGTCTCTGAATCCATCGATAGTGATCTCTTCAGTCTGCACATGTTTAATTAGAATCCATAATCAAAATAGTTGGAGTAACTACTAAACTATACCCTTGGCCTATAGGTCAATCAAAGTGGGGAAGACCTCTAAAAATGTTCGCTTCAGGCTGCAGTATAGTAACTGCAAGGTAGTAACTATACCTATTGATACAGTAAAAATTTATTGACACCATAAAAAACCTATCGTATTTCTGCTTAATTTATTTCTTAAAAAGAAACAGAAAGGATTATATGAATTTACGTGTATATGTATATATAAATATATATATGTATGTGTGTGTGTATTCTCATATATACAGGATACACAACTATATTACCAATCTTTGTCAGTTCATCACAAAGAATAGTTTATTTGATTGTTTGATCATTTTTTCATGCCTCATAACCTAAACACCTTCTAAGATAACAATATGCAACATATTAATTAGTATTAATTTCCTATTTTTTGAAATTCTGTATTATTTTCTATCTTTTCTTTCATTTTGCTTTTTAAAATAAAAACAAATAATTAAATAAATTTTAAAAATAAATAATTTAGATATTTTAGACTGATACTCATTTTTCCATTTTTATGCAACAGAAAAAATTTTAAATAATTCTTCTAGGTTTTCTCGTCATTTACTATATTATATGTTAAGAATTAAACATACATTAAAACATATATTAAACTAGTAACAACAAAAGCCCTTTAATTCTATACAGGAAACGAATGCAATTAGAAAAGCTAGGTGACCCACTTAGATGGCACAAAAAGCTAAGAGCAGAACCAGACTATCTATATATCACCTCTAATAATTATGTATACCACAAGAGCTATATATGATATGTAAGTAAAATAACTGATATGCAATTTGAGAAGTGGCACCTATAAAGCTATACTGAAAGCATACACATTCACTTATCTCGGCTCCCTCTCAAACTGGGCTAGAAAGGCAAAAGCAGAAATGAGGGTCTGAATGAAATGTGGTCATGAATGCTTCCTTGTTAAAAATGTTTTTAAAATATAGCTGTGGCTTCTGAAAAAATAACAAACTTGAAACTATTCTGCGTTTTCTTAATGATGAAATGATTTAAAATTATCTAATTTACATTTCACTATGAGAAGAAATTTAAATGACAAAAGGCCCTTCAAATATTTCACATAATAATAAGAATATTTTATTTTACTTTGTCCATGATGACAACATAATAAATAGGATCACCTTTAAAACATGGTACATATTAATACCAGCTTTCTTTTGCTTAACAAAAGAACTTTTGAATTTCAATATGCACAGAAATTCAAAAGATTAAAACAAAAACCTAAATATTTAAATAATTTTATATATATTGAACTTTGTGAACTTTTATAAATGACTGACTTTTAAGTAAATTTCCATGCACATTATCTGCATCACAAAGCTGTTTTATTTTAATGTATTAAATAATGCTTATTCAATTCTAAATTCAATTGCTTTATAAAAGTATATAACTTTGTTAATAGTCTGAAATTTCATTTATAGTCTGAGATATAAAATCATAAAACACACATTATTTATTATGTTTCTTCAGACTGTAAGGCACCACTTTAAAGTATGAATGCATTTTCCACATTAGTGATTTTTTAACATATTAAATTTTAAAAATTAAAAATTGTAAAAGGTCATAAGCAACTGTATTTTCAGAGCAAAGTGATCAATGGCAAATATTTAATAAAAGAAGTAACAAAATGAACAGGGAGTATGTAAACTGGAGAAAAATATTTTAAAATCTTAAGGATTTTAAGAGCAATGAGAGATTAGACATGTTATACATGGGCTTCTACAGATGAATTAGAAGAGTTATTAAAATAAGGCAGATTTCAGCTCAAATATAAAGAACAATTAGTAATGTAGTACCAAAAAGTGCTCTGTCAGATGATGGCTTGTCTTCAGCCATTAAAAGGAGTGAGCAAATTATGACCACAGGCCAAATTCAGCACACAAGTTGTTTTATGATGTTACTGCATCAGTAATCGCCTGCTTTAGTACTATGGCACAACTGTTGTGTAAATGCAATAGAGACTGTACAATGCATAAATGTTGAAATGTATAGTATCTGGACCATGACAGAAAAGATTTTAAGATTCATATGAAGAAGATTATAGGAATTCAAATACTTATGAGAATTTGGACAAAACAACCAATTAGAAAAGTGCCTATCACATTAAAGACTGAATTGTACTGATCCTTTATGATATATGTCAGCACAGGTGAGTCGGTAAACAAAACTTGAAGTTCATACCACATTTTATCTTAATAGTTGCATGCTATGATGTGGGGCTATTTGTGACAGGAGTCACATTTGTCTAATACAAAAGAACTCAAAGACTACCTACCATAAGTGGCACATATTCTTAATAATGTTCACAAAAATAGTATCTTCAAGATCCCATGATACAGATATTCTATGGTTAAAAATCAGCTTCTTCACCTAACTCAGTGGGTCTTTATTTACAACTCATGAAAAGAAAAATAAGTATCCCCTGAAAATAGCTTTTATATATAATGAAAAATTCCTACAAATACTTTCTGAGCTCTATTATACAAACTAGTGTGTTAGCATATTCAAAATTATCACATAAAAATTGTGAAAACTAATGCCTTTTAAAAATAAACCAAAAGAGCCCTAATTATTTTTATTTTAAAAAGCAGGAAAATAAACAGAATTTCAGAACAATAGTAGAGTAACAATAATTAATACATTATTAATGTGTATTGCTATCTTTAGGTAATTATTCAGCATACAAGATATAGGCATTAGATATTGCCAAACAATATTGGCACAAATCATCTTTTCAATGAACTATGAGTAACTAGCAATATAACTATCTTGTTTATATATTTTTTTTCCTTTTCCCTTTCTTCCTTTTCTCTTTCCCAGTCACAATTTCTAAAACAATTTAACCCTAGTATACATATCATTTTCTGAAGTAGTTTAAATGTGGAACTCCCTCTTTTATAACCCACTGAAATTTAGCATAACTAATGATCTTGAGAATTATGTTCTATTCAAAGTCATTTATAGTGTTTCTAAATTACTAATTACATCATGACAGAAAAAAAACGTGTCTTTTGTCGCACACATATGACAAATGCATAAAAGAAACTTAATTCAGTTCATTGTTTGAGATAGACTCAACCCATGTCTTGCACATACTGTTTTTTTTTTAACTCAAGCAGATGTTAGTTATGTTGCAAAAAACATTATCCTCTTTCTACAGAATCCATTAGACCATTTAATAGTATAACAGTAAAGTAATCTTTTTGCTGTGGTATATATTTAATGACATAAATATACATATTTAGGACATAGTATACAGTTTAAAGTTAAATAACTGATAAACTATGTAGCAGACTGACAGACTTAATAATTTCAAAGTCAGTAAAAGCAAGTTACCTGAAGAAGGTGACAAAAAACTGCACAAGATCCATGATTGTATTGTGTTGTGAAAACGCAATCTAAAAAACAAAACAAAGTGAAAAAAGCAAGCTTGAAATATGTTGAATCTAAGTTCTCCAGGACCTGAGATGATGCTACATTTTATGTGTAATATAGCATTTATAAATAACCTAGAGATTTGGAATCATCATATTAAATACCAAATATATGCTGGAATTATAAAATTTTATCTAAAATACCTAATACATTAAAAAAATAATGATGGTCTTTGCGTAGGCTATGACATTAAGTGGGTAAAAATTATTATAAATGTATATCAAGAATGTGAGATAACAGTTCAACATAAAATGTTATGACACATTAAATATGTCCAACTAAAGCATGCAAATGTTTTTCAAATATTTCAAATATTTTCAAATATTCAATAAATAACTCTTTGTAAAAACAAATCAAAACAAAAATTCAACTTCCTTGTAGAATATTAAGAGGATTTTTCCCTCTACATTTCTGTCTAGTAAAGAGAAATGCATAGATAGAAATATTTGGATATAAATTACAAAAGAATAAAATTATCACAATATTTCTAAACATCAGATAAATAAAAACTAATTGTGATAATGAAAGTAGTGAAAAACCGAGGCTCTCCATTTCAACTAACGTTATGAGGTCGTACTGGGGCACTTTTCTTGAGGAAGTATTATGTAGTACATTAGGCATAATGAAGCATCTACATAGATAATAACTGATTTGAAAGATATTTCATACACTAGCCAGGAATATTTTAGAAAATTATATAATCTGTAGGTTAGGACATACCATTGTTAAAACTTATAAAAGGGGAGAAGATGGAAAATGAAGTGGAGAGAAACCAGCAAATGCTGTATCAACACTAAAACTGTAGTTGGAAAAAATGTTAGAAGAAAGCAATGGTTAATTCTATTGGTTGAATAGGAGGAAACTGGAAATATTACTGTTAGACTTGACAACATCAACTTCACAATTAAATAAATGCATTTACAATGAAGTGGTGAGAACGTTTTAATATTAAAGTTTAACATAAAAATAACATGGACAATGAAAAAGTACTGACAAACTCATCTTGAACATTTTTGATAAGGTCTGTAATAAATCATAGCAGAATAATAAGATATAGGATCTTAAGAATGTTTTAAATTCACAGATCATTAAGAAAGCTAGATAATGTAAGCTGTGTATAGAAATTATTTAAAATAGTATTTTTTGAGTTCATATTGTCAAAATTAAATTGAATTAAAACTGTTTTACAAAAATAGCAAAAGCAAGCTTAAGAACTGCAAAAAAATTAAAAGCAATCCCTAGAGTTCTAGATGGGCAGCAACTAGATGCCAGCTAACTTCATATCCTTGATCCTCCTCTTACAAAAAGAAACCCCAACAAGATTAAAAACATAAATATAAATAAATAAATAGGAATACCAGAAAAATTGAATAATTATCACTTTCAAAACCAAAGCATAAAAAGGTATGCACCATACACATAAATTGAACATTGTCTTAGTCACTTTTCTCCTTGCTGAGACAAAATATCCAACACCCAAATTTAAATGAGGAAAGGTTTATATCAGCTTGCAGTTCATAGATGTTTCAATGCACACTTTGCTGGTTTGAGGCGGGGAGCCATGGCAGTGGGGCACTACAGAGTTCAAAGAGTTCCTGGCGGGCAGACGGCAGCAAAGCAGTGAAGCAGCAAGCAGCAAGTAAAGACAGCAGCCCTCTTTCTACCCTTATATTCTATCCATGGTGGGCATCCGTAATCCCAGCTCTATATCATTAATCGCAGTATCACATCATAATCCCATCATCACACACCCTAGATCAGCCACCACCATAAATTGCCTACTATGACCACATGAGGCTTTGTGGAGACATTTTGAAACCAGTTATTACATACATGAATCAGGGTCTATTGGGAAGAAGAGGGAAATAAGGAAATCCAAATGTAAGTCAAAATGGCATCCATTAGAACCTCACAGAACATTATTCATTTAGAAGTGAAAGCAGAAATGATTTTATACAGCCCAAGAAAAAGTAATGCAAGCAGTCATGGAACAGTTCTAAACAGAGCTGGAACAATTTGTAACACATGAATTTTCAAAATCAACCAATCAAATACACATTTTAGGACAGCTGGAGAACCTGCTAGATGTGAAAGTGAAAATTAAATAGTACAGGATAAATAGAGACTGCTGTGGTTTGCTTAAATGCCCCACCCCCGCCACAAAGCCTCATGTGGTCATGGGAAGGGGGCCTTGCTAGTGTGGCTGAGTCTAGCATTTGTGATTGGCTCAGTAACTAGCACTGGGATTGGTGGCATGAGTGCTGCACCTGCCTGGGGGAGGGGAGTAACCATATACAATATAAGGGAGGGAAAGAGGCGTGCTTTCCACCTTTTCTGCCCTTTCACTCCTGTCATTTGCAGCTGCCATGAACTACTGTCACACCACCTTGCCTTAGAGCCAGCTCAGTATGCACTGAAACATCCAAAAACTGTAAGCTAAATAAACCTTGCCTTCCCTAATTTTGGGCATCAGGTAACTCATCTCAGCAACGGGAAAATAGTAACCAAGACAGAGACAAAGAAAAGATATTCCAAGGAAAGTGAAGAGCACAGTCAAAAAACCTTTATGAGGAAAACAATTTTTTTCAATTACTGAGCTTATTAATTTCTTTTTAAACTGCCAATTTGTCAAAATTACCACTCTCAAATATTTGCCATTTTTTAAATATAAAGGAATTAGTATTTTTAAAATTGATTTGTAAGTAGTAGGAATAACCAACAGAATTACAATAAATTTATATTAGAAAAACACAATGCAAGCTGGCATAACAGAATTTCACTATTATTTGCCTGCCCCTCATGAATTCATATTATTTAACCTTCGAACAAAAATCATACTTTGAGCTACATAAGCAAACCATAAGCATATATAAAAATATCCACAATTTGTATGTTTTCTAAAAAAAAATATTTGAATACATAAAGTACTCAGAGAAGGCACTACAAAGTATAGTTAAAATTTGTATTACATTATCTATTTATACTTATTATAGCAAAGTAAAAAAATTTGAAAGTTTTCTTAAGCGATACAAACATTATTTTGCTTTCAGCATGTATTCAGAGGATAACCAGGATATCATTTTTACAGAGGTAATGGTACTTATATCTCTCATAATTAACACAATTTTCTAAATTATCATATTGTGCAGTTTCTCACAATTTAGTGTATAACTCTAGAACATTAAAATATCAATTGGAGACCAAGACCCATTTTTCCACAGATAATACTATTCAAATTTAAGAGTGTAATAGGATAAACATGATAGGGAAGGTCTTTGTCAAAGTGGCATCCAAAATAAAGATGACTTTACAAACTAAAGTAAGGGACACCTTAAAGAATATAATTTACTACCTTAATGATGTTTAAGAAAAAATAGACTTAGTACAAGCATACTACCTGGATGCTATAGCCTCAAGTAAATTAATTTCTTATGTTAGCTATTCAGAGGGAGAGTTAGAGTTATAATATATTGTGCAAATCTTTCAAAATGTTAATAGCTTTTCCTACCTAAGAACAAAAGATATCTTTCCATCCTCTTTAATATCCTTTTTTAGAGTAGTTTTCAGTATAGTGACCTTTTACTTACTGTGTTAGATTCATTCCTAAGTACTTCATGTGAAGGTTGTTGTTGCTCTACCTTTTCTGTGAGCTTGTTGCTTGTTTATAGGAAGCCTATTGATTTTTGAGTGTTGGTTTTGTATTCAGATCTGCTACTGAATTTGGTTATTAAATCTAGAAGTCTTTTGGTGAAGTGTTTGGGATCTTCTATGCCAAGTATCATGTAATTTGTGAATAATGATAATTTAACTTCTTCCCTTCCTATCCTTTTTCTTTTTACATCTCTCTTGTCTTAATTGCTCTGGTTAATATCTCCAGAAATATAATGAGTGGTGATAGTAAACATCCTTGTCTTGCTCCTGATTTTATAGTGAAAGCTTTCAGGTTTTGATCATTTTGTATGATGTTGGCTGTTGGTTTGCCATAGATAGCTTTTATCAGCTTGAGGTAAAAACCATCTGTTCCAATTTTCTGTAGGTTTTTATCATGAATTGATGTTGGTTTTTGTCAAATGCTTTTTCTTCATCTATTGAGATGACCCTATGGTTTTGGTTCTTGGCTCTATTAATGTAATGTACTACACACAATGATTCACATATACTGAACCATCCCTGTATCCCTCAAATAAATCCTACTTCATAGTGTATAAACTTTTTGATTAATTGCTACATTCTGTTTGCCAGTATCTTACACAGAACTTCTGCTTGTATGTGTATGTTCATTAGGCAGATTGGCCTGTAGTTCTATTTTTTAGTTGCATCCTTCTCTGGTTTTGCTACCAGTGTAAGGCTATCTTCCAGGATTGAATATGGAGTATCGCTTCCATTTCAGTTTCATTAAAGAGTTTGAGGAGTAGTGGTATTACTTATTCTCTTGAAGAGTTCAGCACTGAATCTGTCAGCTCCTGGGCTTTTGTTGGTAAATTATTTTACTCCTTCTTCAATTTCACTGACTGATATTTGGTTATTTAAAACTTTTATATCTTCTTGACTCAATTTTGATACTATACATATACATACATACATACATACATACATACTTTTCTTCTACCTACATATTAAACTACAGGTTCTTGAAATAGATACTGATGATCTTCAGGATTTCTGTAAGATATGTTATAATTTCATAATTTTTCTTCCTAGTAACATGTTTTTGAGTCTTCCCTTCTATCAATGCCGTTGTCCAAGGGTTGTCAATTTTATATAATCTTTCCAAAACCAATTCTTCAATTCACTGCTTCTTTGTATTGTTTTCTTATTCTCTACTGCCTTATAGTCTGCTCTGATTTTTTCTTACTTTACTTTTTTTTTTTACTTTGAAAGGGAATAAAACTAAATTAAAAAGATAATAAGGTCAATCAAAATAGAACAACAAAAGCAAAAGGAAATCAAGTCAAAATAAAAGGAAATCAACGACTACTATATGACATCTTGTTATCTTGAAAATAGCTGCCCATACCATCAGACATAATGAAATCAAAACAAGACAAAAAAAAAAAAAAAACACCTAACAAAACAATGATAATGATATAGGAATTGAAAACATACTAATAGGGAAATAAGAATGGTTACCACCTTCCATTTTTGTAGTTTCCTCCCCTTTCACTTTCACAATACTTATTGCACATTTTGAATCCCACTAACTCCTTCCGGAGTTATACTCCTTTATATGAGGGAGACAACACAATGTTCACCCATGTGAGTCCAAACCATTTAACCCATGAGCCTGAGCTCAATTTGTATTCATTTACCTACAACAGCCTCAACCTTATCTCTCTTTATAGATGAGTAGATTTCCATTGTATAAAAATACCATTTCTTTCTTATCCATTTTGTGGTCGAAAAGTAAGTTATCCCTGCTCATTTCTAGGTCCCTGCCACATGATGCACTATCATCTCTCCTCTGACCTTCAGTACATGAATTTCTTTTTGAGTCTGAAGTGTTTCTCATATACAGCATATTGATGGATCCTTTTTCTTGATCCACTCTCCCTGTGTTTCTTTTTAGTGGTGAATTGAGGCCATCTACATTAAAGGCTACAACCAGCATGCATTGGCTCATCTCTTCCATACTATTATTCAGCTGTTGCCCCCCCCCCCCACTTTCCTCCTTCATTCAATTGCCTGCCCTGTTTGGAGAGACTACTCTGCTGCTATTCCTTGTGAGTCAAGAATTCCTTCAGTTGTTTTTATCATGGAAATACCTTATTTTTCCATCCATTTTTGAAAGACAGTTTTGTAGGGGACATCAGTCTGGTTTGGAAGTTGTTTTCTTTCAGGATTTGAAATACTTCATTCCAAGCTGTTTTTGACTTCATGGTTTGTGCTGACAAATCTACCACAATTATGATGGGTTGTCTTTCATATGTGATCTATTTCTTTTCTCTAACAGCCTTTAGGATTTTGATTATTATGTCTGGGTGTAATGTATTTTAGTTAAAGCTCGTTGAAGATCTATATGCCTCACTTATCTGCATGTCACATCCTTTCCCCATATTTGAGAAGTTTTCTGCTGTTACTTCTGTAAATGGTCTTTTTATGTCATTTGTGTTGATCCTTGCTTTTATGCTAACACATATCACTCTTAAATTATTTTTATTTTTGTGGTCTTGCAAGAATTAAATTGTTATTTCCTGGTTCTTTGTTATTTTTAAGAGATTTTTCCTTTTGTGATCGCTAGCTGTCATGGCCTGAAAGTCTATCTTCAGTGTCTTTCAAGTGGTTTTTCTACCTTTCAGTAGAGTTTTTGATTTCCTAGATATCTCTGTGAATCTGTTTCATGTATTGTAATTCTTTCCTATATTGTTTATTTAAGGTTTTCTTAATTTCCCTATGCTTATCTATTTTACATATGTCTTCTTTAGATATGCTCAGCAATTCTTTCATTATGTTTGTGATTTCTGCTTTCACCTGATATTATTTTATTTTATTTTTGTCTTTTTCCTTTTTATCGGTACCAGGGATCGGACTCATGACTGCCTGCTTGCAAGGCAGGCGCTTATGCCGCTGAGCTAAATCCCCAAACCCGCGATATTATTTTTGATCTAAGTAGTTTTACATCCTTATGAAGCTGTTTCTTTACTTTAGTTACTATCCTTTCAAATTTGCAGGTGTAAGACTTCTACTTTATCCCATTTCTACATCTATTAGACTTGTTCTGTGCAGGATGGAGGTCTGAGATTGCCTTTTGCTTCATGTTGACATTTTTCTGTGTTCCTCCTGACAAGCCATTTGTAAGTCCCAGGAGATTCCCATGATGGCTATCCTTCATGGTCTAGGGAAGTGGGCCAGGCTCCTGATGCTCTCTGAACCAAGGTTCCAGGGAGGCAGTGGCCATGGGTATATGGTGTCATGGCTTTTTCTTTTCTCAGTTTGCATGGCTACATTGGGAATCCGCTGATTGTGGCACGTGCACAGGGGCATGTTTCTCTGATTCTTTTGGCACATGATTGTCCATGGGCAACAAGGGTCTTTAATGGTATATTGAGGGTTCATAGGGTGTATCTAGCTGTTTCTCCCTGCATTCACTAGTTACGTGAGGGAAGCAAGTGCGCCTATGACGGCAGACATGTAGGGGGCTGGTCTGGCTGTTTCTTCCTGCCCTCACTGATTGCCCACAGGAAGGTAAGTACCCAGATTGTGGCAGGTATGCAGATGTAGGTCTTGCTGTTTCTCCCTGCCCACACTGGCTGTCCACAGGAAGCAAGTCTCTGTTCTGACCTGAATACTTTCTTGCTTCACATGAGGTTTTGATGTGACTTACTGTGGTGGATTAGTTAATGATCAACTTGGAACACCCAGATTAATTGAATAAGTGTTGTGCTGGGTATAGGAGGCCCACCTGAGGATTACTGCCAATAGCATTCAAAGAGAACTAAAGGGAACAATGGTGTGCAGTTGATTTTTTTAGAGAAGCTTATTACACTGGATTTCTTGATATGAATTTGGGGCCTTGCTTTTGCTGAGGATGGTTGTGCTTCTTTTCATAGTAGTTCTAGTCCTTACTTTGCACATCATTTCCCGGGTCCAGATCCCTCAGCCTTCTAGAACAAACCCTTCATTCTGCTGGCAAAGACTTTCTACTTCTTTTTTTTTTTTTTTTTTTTTTTTTTTTTTTTTGTCTTTTTTCCTTTTTATTGGTACTGGGGATCGAACTCACGACTGCCTGCTTGCAAGGCAGGCGCTTGTGCCACTGAGCTAAATCCTCAGCCCCTAGACTTTCTATTTCTACCACAGACTTTGTAGCCTTCCAAATCATATTCTTGAGGCAGATTTATGTGAAACTTTGTTATGGGTTCTAGGCCTCCAGTTAGACTCATGGAGGCATTGTCATGGCTCTAGGTCTTCAGCTAGACACATGCAGGATATTGATGTGTGATTCAGGTGCTCATCTGGAGTCTCTGTGTCTCAAATATGTGGAAAACTCCTCTATTTTCTTTTGTATTTCACTGTTTGGGTGAATATTTTAAATTAATCCTATAAAGTATGTGTCATATATTAAATCTTTTTTTTTTTTGAAAACTCTGACTACAACACTTACTCTTCTCAGAAGTCTGAAGTTCAACTTTCAGTTTGAGATTGCTAGGTTTTTCAGATATTGGAATACATGTTATAATTCTCCCTTATAAGAATGCTTTAATTGCATCCTATAAATTCTAATATTTTGTATTGATGTTACCATTTAATTGTAGAAACTGTATAATTTCTGCTTTAATTTCATCTGTGGCCCATTGGTTGTCAGGAGGATGTTATTTAATTTCCTTGTATTTATACAGTTCTTATGATTTCTTTTGCCATTTATTTCCAATTTCATTGCACAATTGTATGATAATATAATTGGGATAATTTCACTTCTTTTGCATTGACTTAAGCATGTTATATGAGTTAATACATGGTTTATTTTGGAGAATACCACATGTATTGCTCAGAAGAATTTGTATTCTTATGTGGTGGGGCAGAGTATCCTATAAATATCTACTAAGTCTGTTTGTTCAAAAATTTGATTGTTCTATTTTTAAAAATCATTTTTTATGCAATTGATCTCCCTATTTGTACAGTTGGACATTGAGGGCCCCCATTTCACTTGTACAAGTCCTTATTTGATTTTTCATGTTTTATATAGTTGAGTGTGCTATTATTAATGTAAATACATTTAACTTGTTATCTCTTCCTCTTGGATTTTTCCCGTAACAGGTATGTACTGACTTTCATTGACTCTGGAAATCATTCTTGCCTTGAAATTCACTTTATTTGCAAATCGAATAGCCACCCATGCTTTTTTAACAGGTTCTTGTGACACGAAGTATTATTTTACATCTTTTGACTTCAATCTATGAATTTCCTTTTTCAATTAAATGTGTTTTTTGTATATAACATGTTGTTGAATCTTGCTACTTTATCCATTCTGTCAGTGTGTTTCTTTTAAATGGTGAATAGAGATCATTTATATCAGTTATAACTGATACCTAATGACTTATCCTTGGCATGCTATTTTCTTGTTTTTGGTACCCTTTCTTTCTTCTCTGTATGATTGCTTGCCTTGCCTGGTAAATGCATTTTGTTGAGGTTTATGTATTCTAGTCTTTGTTATTTCTTTCTAGCATGTCCTTAAGAATGATTTTGAGGGCTGGAGATTTAGCTCAGTGGCTTAAGTGCTTACCAGGTAAGCAAAAGATCATGAGTTTGATCCCTGGTATGCTCCCCAAAAATGATTTTGAGTATCAGTTGGTGATCATAAAATTCTCCAGGTTAATCATGGAAATATCTTATTGTATTGGGGATCCAACCCATGACTGGCATTTTCCAGGCGGTTATGTCACTGAGCTACATCCCCAACCCCCTCTATCAATTTTGAAAGATAGTTTTGTGCGGGTGTATCAATCTGGGTTGAGCTTTTCTTTTAAGGCTTGAAATACTTCATTTAAAACTCTCAGTAGCTTAAGGGTTTACATTGAGAAGTCCTGCTATGATTCTGATAGGATTTCCTGTATTTTTTTTTATTTCTTTAATGGCTTCTGATATTATCATCTTGTGTTGGTTTTTTGAAATCTTGACTGTTATATGCCTTTGGATAGGTGGGCTTTTAAAAAATAATACCTACTTGCAGTACTATATGTCTCAGTTATCTGTATGTCAAAATTTACATTCATGCTTGGGAAATCTGCTATTACTTCTGTGAAGATTTTTATGTTTGCATTATCACCTGTATTTTCATTCAATATGATAGATCTTCTGTTATTTACATCACATAGCACCTGTTGGATTATTCATGCTCCCATGCTATTTTTAAGAAATCTTTCTTTTCATGATTGTTAAAACTAATCCTATCAAGCTCACTTCAGCTGCACATATACCAAAATTGTTATGATACAGAGAATATTAGCATGATACTGTGCAAGGATGACACACAAATTTGTGAAGCTTTCCATATTTTTACATATACAAGATAGTTAAGACAGTTATAATGCTAATTTTTCTTAGTTCACTGAAAATAAAGGGTTTAGCCAATACTGCTGTTCAATTTTTCATGCCTGTATCTTTTATTTTGATAAACTGCTTTGAAGATAAAAATTCATAGTGTATTAATCAGTGTCTATTATTTTTTCCTTGTTGTTTGGTTTTGAAATTTTTACTTTTATCTCTTTAAAATAAAATTTAAAAAAAATAATACCCTCTTCTTACATTTGATATTGTTCTTTTAAATTGTTTCATCATTCTGTATGTACTTTCATTAAAAATTTAATCTCCTGGATATCTGTGTGAATCTATTTAATATATTCCATTTCATGCCTATTCTGGGCACTTATGATTTCCATAATTTTCCTAATCTCCTCTTTTATCTATATCTATTCTAAATTCACAAACAATATTCTTCATTATGGCCTTCATTGCTATAGTTATGAGAAATTATTTTGATTTTTTTCCTAGGGTCTCATTCATCAGATTTGTTACTTCTGCTGCTACTACTTCAGTGAGTCCGGGTGGGTGGTTTTTGAATTGTGGCACATCTTTACCCCCAGTTTGCCTTTGACAAGCTGAAAGTCTGGGGTTGAATTCTGCTTTTGTGTCCTTTCACTTTCGATATATTTTTTAGTTTAATTCCTGCACAGATGCTTATAAATTGCTTATGGTAGGTAGCTTTACTGCTAATATTAAGAACCGTTAGGAAATTACTGCTTTACAGAGATTTCTTATGGATGCATCTGGCTTTGGGGTTTTGAATCTATTTCAATATTCTGCACCTTCGCTTTATTGAGGGTGAGAAGTTGATGTCTCTTTGGCCTAGGCCCTGGTACTTAGGCTCTGCCTTACAGTATTATTTATGACCTTCAGGCAATTCAGGTCTTTGCACACAAGCACTTTACAACTGTATCACTTGAGACAATTTTACAATTCACTAGTTCTATTTTACATGGACTTAAAAATTTATTAAAAGTTTTGAAGTAGTTCAATAAATGCTTAATAAACATTTATTATTCACTATTAAAATTATATTTATGTAATTGTTAAGTAAAAGAGAAAAATGTGATTCGGTTCATTTTAGTATTAAAAGGAAGCACAGTTTTCTTACCAAATTTTACAAAAATAAAGAGCACAGTAATTTGAAAACTGAAACAATTTATATTTTCTTATGTAATTTGTTGGCTGTTAACTTGCCAGACAGGCACTTAAACCACTGAGCTATATTCTCATTCCCTGAATTTTACATTTCAACTTAAACTTGTACAAGAACCAAGTAAGTGGTACTCATTTGTAATGCAAAATTATTTTTTAAATGCTGTTATCCACTATTTTGTATCAACTCCACTTTTATTTATGGATTCTTGTAACATTATTTTATATTATGAATCTACAATATAGAACAAAAGTACAATCTCAAGTCAAATATTTCTTTAATATCCATTAACAGCTTATGAATGATTTGTGATATTGTATCATTCTGAAATGTCATTCAGAAATAAATAACAATAAATTTTCACATATATGTAGCAGTTCACAAATCAAACCCAATATGTAATACATATACTTCAGTAATTTTCCAAAAAATTCCTTTTGTTTTTATAGTTCTTGAGAAGGCTTTTCACTCCTGAGAAACAATGTCCACTTCTACTTGAAAAAATAAAACCAGCTATTTTTAAACATTTTCCAGATAATTAAACTTTTAAACAATTGCAGTTAGGATTTAAATTGGGAAGGGGTCTAGAGCTGAGAAAAAACTTTTTCTCTGTAACTGTCCTTAAAAAGGAAATACAGTTTATGTGTACATACAAATTCTTCTCAATACATATAAGTAAATATCAGTGTAATAGACAAAAACAAAAGTCTAATGAATAGTACGATAGTCAAGCTTGTTCATAAAAGTTTAACAAAATCTAATGAATTTGAGTAATTCATGACTAAGATATAGTTTCAAACTAAGTGATTTCTAAATGACACTGTCTGCCAAGTGAAATTGGGCAAGTAATTTTTCTCTGTGCATTTGCAAAATTTAGTAACTATGTATTTCCTAACTTGAAAATAAATTTTGTAAGTATCTTGAACAGTTATTGATGTGGTATCCAATTGTAAATTTCTATTTATACTTCAACTCAATCACTTAATTGTGAGACCTGTGCAAAAGAAAATAATTTAGCACAATAAAAGGTGAAAACAGGCCTTCAGGGAAAATGGCAGAATGGTATGCAATAACAACTCAACCTTTCCGAGATTTAGAATACAAACACTTAAAAATAACCACTTGAAGAAAAAATAATGTAGATTCCCAGAAAGCATGAAGATTTGACAGAAAAAATTAAAATCTATTGAGAAATTAAAAGACAAAACAAACATGGAGAAGGAAAGGGACAATTTGCACTTTATCCTGGGCTACCAGCACATTGTCTACGGGGAAGGGAGACTGAATCTACACAAAGTGAAAGCTGCAGAGGGTCACCAGAGGCCTACAGGGGAAAATGTAGTTATGGAACAGACCAGTGGGCCTTTCAACTGAAGGGAGAGCTTGGTTTCTACCCCCATGTGAGTCCTTTTACAGGGAACAGCTGATGAGTGACTCCAGTCGAAAGTCCATCATACCCCTTAAACAGACACAAATCAAGGATGCATGCTTGGACTCTTGGGTCACTGTTTGAACCTAGGACTCAGAGCTGCCAAAGGATGGTTTCCATTCATGGCTCCCTGTGTTACATTCCCACAGTACAGTGACTGGGTGAGAGACAGATGTGGAGAACACTGTGGTCACTGAACTATGGCGAAGCTGAAGAGACCTCTTGAGATGCATAAGCTAAAGGACATAAGCCCTGTCCCCAGAGCAAGAGGCCTGGTTCACCATGAATTGCTCTGGATTTGAAAGTCATGGCATTGGTTCCTTTCCTTAAACACTGTCTGCTAGTGCCTGCTACTATCACAGATCTGGGTTCTGACTGCCTTCTTTTCTACCAGCATGAGCAGGAATATGTTTTGATATGGGCACTGTTCCATAATTGTAGATTCCAGAAGAAAAGCACATGTTCCAAGTCACAGAAAAATTTTATTTTCTCATGTATTTTTGTTTTTGTTTGCTTTTTTTTTTTAGTGTGTACATCCTTTTTCGGTTTTTACTCTCTTTTATTTTTCTTATTTTCTTTCCTCTTCTTCAAAAGTTTATTGATGATTTATCAATTATTCTTGTGTTTCTTATGTTTTACCCCTTTTCTTTATATTCTTTATTTTTTTTTGATGCTCGCTTCAGCAACACATATACTAATTTTTTTTCCTTTTGACCTTTTAAATTTTTCTCGCACTAGTCTTTTCCTCTCTTATTTTTGCTCCATATATTATTGTTCTCCCTCTCTTTTTCTTATATCTTGCATTTCTCATCAGTTTTTTTTTCCTTAACTTAGACATATAATCATTCTTCTACTTCCTGACAGGTTCTTTTGTAATAGTTCTCTCTCCTCAAATCATATGGTTTAAGGTTTCAAATTTTTCCTCTTGCAATTTTCAACTCCCAAACTCTACATTTTTAATAGTAAAGCCATTAAGTTTTATTAATCTGTTGCTAATTAGCTAACTCTTTAAAATTACTGTTGCAACAGGAACCTGGAAAAAAAAAAGGTGGGGGACAAACATATTCACTGGAAGAAACACAGCCTCTTTAAAAAATGGTAGTGGAAAACTAGCTTTGTACATCCTGCAGATTAAAACTAGACCCAAACCTTTCACCATGCACTAAACTAATTTAACATAGATAAAGATCTAAATATTAAAACAGAAACATTAAATCTGCTGATACATAGAATAGGTAAGACGTTTGAAGACATTGGTGTAGGCAAAGACTTTATGAATAAAATTGTGACTGCATAGGACCAATTACAAAGAATCAACCACTGGGCTCTCATCTTATTAAGAAGCTTTTGTACACCAAGAGAAACCACTGGTACAGAATGAAGAGGCAAGCCACAATGCGGAAACAAATGTTTTCCAGCTATTCCTCAGACAAGGGATTACTATTAAGAACACAAAAACTCAAAAAATCATACTTCCAAAATTTAAAAACTTAATCAAAAAATGGGCACCTGAGATGAATACACACTTCTCAGATGAAACCAAAACAGCAAATAAATATATGAAAAAATGTTCTACATCACTGGTCATTCAAGAGATGCAAGTTGAAAGAACACTTAAGTTCCAAGCCACCCAGAAACAATGGCTAGTATCAAGAAATCAACCAATAACAAACATTGGAGGGGCCTTGGGGAAAAAAGATCCCTTCTCTACTGTTGTTAGGGGTGTAGACTAATGCAACCACTGTGGAAATTAGTGTGGACATTCCTCAAAAATTTAGGATTACAGGCCTTACTTGACCCAGCTATTTCCCTTCTGGATATCTTCCCAGGAGAATTAAAAATATTGTACCATAGCTATATATGTGCATCCATGTTTACAGCAGCACAATTTGTAATAGCTAGATTTTGGAAGCAACTCATATCTATCAACTGAAGAACGGATAAAACAGATGCAGCCTTTTTATACAATGAAGTACTACTCAGCCATAAAAAGGACTAACTGGTGATATTTGTAGGTAAATGGATGGATCTTGAGAACATACACATAATTGAAATAAATCAGGCTCATGTGTGTAAAAAATGTATTATCTTCCCAGTGTGAGAATCCTGAAGAGTAAGTAAGATCTAAAATGTAAAATAGATGTTGTGAAATAGGAAGAAACTGTTCAAAAGGAAAGAGAAAGTAGGATGGGGCAGAGGAGAAAAAAAAAGGAAGAAGAAAGCAAAACCATATATAATTATATATATACAAGTTAAGATAGTTAGAATACTAACCTCTCTTAATTTATTAAAAAGAAAGATTTGTATAAATACTGTTTAGACAATTAAATTCCTGTATCTTGTACCCTAAGTGACTAAAGATGACAATACACAATGTGTTAACTACTGTT